CGAGTAATCACGATATTCCGTTTTGCGTAATAAAATAATTTTTAATTATTTAAAATATTTAATACGTCTGGGCATGATTTGAGGAACTTCCAGAATGAAAGACGAAATAGCTATTACTGCCTCAATCGATCGACCGAAGATCCTGGCTACAACCAATGACCAAAGAATGACACCGGATAAACGGCTCGAAGGAGGTGCTCCTGAGCCGGATTAAATACTGTCAAAGTTCAGACAGTTTCACAAAATTAGGTAAGTTGGAGACTTTGCCAGTTGCTGCTGCCTCCGCGACCAGAAAGTGGTCAAAACTGACCGACTGAAATATTAAATAAATAGCACTTGAGAGGTTGAAAATAGGTATTACTACCCATGTAGTCTGAGTCTACAAAAAATAGTTTTAGACCATTAAATGACCCTTTCAGCATCTAGGAAAGAGGTTAGTGCAATTGTACCGTATAACTGCGGAAAGTTTAGAGACACTGGGTTCCCTCTTTTACATCAGTATAAACTTGCTCCGGTCAGTAACCTGCCTACGGCTAAAGTACTGCTATTTCTCCTGATACTTCAAGGAGGTTCAGTTTATGACCAAATAAGGTGACGACTTTGCGAATCCATCCATTTTACGGCAAATACTGAAATAAGGCATAATTGCAGATCGCGAAAGTATCCCCATGGGCGTCTAGAAGGAAGTAAACCATGCCATTATACTGTATAAACCAAGAAAATTGAAATGATATATATTTGCCCATGTTTCATTGGTTCAAGCAGGCCATAGCTGTCCCTGTCAAAACACCTTTTCTAGAGTTCTGCTGTTCGTCTCTTTCTGTACTACAGTGCAACGTCTTAGTCAGTGATTAAATCGTTCCATCTTTTTGGAGGGCGACCCTCTGGCCTTTTGCAACCCTGCTGGCACCACTCGAATATAGCAGCTGTGTGTCAGTGGACAGGAAACCCAATAACGTGCCCAGCCTGTCACATTTTTTTCTTTGCTTTCGACGATGGTACCTTTCTCTCTAATTTGATGTCATATAACACATAACGTTCCTCCTTTTTCGTTAGTGACCATACTGTAATGAGGTACAACATTGCCGAGAACATAATTGTGTTGAAAAACTAGACCTACTTAGATCTGTTCGTTTTTCCAAGTACGATATCCTTCACGGAGCAGTACCGCCTTTAACCGCTGTACAAATTCTTTTTGAACTCCGTCAGCTTCCTGCGCACAAATGGAGCAGCTTTCCACTACTTTTATATCCTCGTTAGTAATCGTTGTTTAGGCCTGCTGCCGCGTAGCAGATTGCACTTTGATTGATGGCTTTGATTCTGTTTTTCCAGCTTTCTTTCTCGAGTGCTTGCAGCATTTCTTCGAGTTTTCTGGTATTTTCTCGAATCAACAGAACGTCATCTGCAAATCTGATAACCAGTGAATGACTGGCCCGTACTCCGTAGATCTTTATTTCCTCTTTTCCAGTCGTTCATTCTCCTGAATACCATTTCTAGACAGGTAGTGAAGAATTTTCGAGAAATTCGAGAATTTTCGAGGAATCATGCCTCCATGCTGCACGTGGCTATGGACTAGAACTCGGAAGGTGTATCGAGCAGCAAGATATTCTTCGTGCATCTAGAATCTGCTTCCTTCAGCAGGCTGATGCAACGTGTTGCGATGACTTGCTCTGCAAGTGCTCATCAAGCTACAAGGAGCTCGAATAAATGACAAAGGCAGTGAACAGAGGCGGTCCATATTGTTTTGAGCATTCCAGCAGTATGCTCACAGAAAAGTGCTTACGCTAAAATTTTCATTATCCGGTCTGTTTTTCTCAGCTGCTGTTCATCTAGACTTATTCATAATCGCTATGTCATTATCATTGTTAACAGATTGCAGGCATATGGGAACAGGCATATACAACGATAGGTTTTTAAATCTTATGGTTCGTTTTCACAACTCCGCCATGGCCGGTCCCAAGCCCGGATGAGAAAGGAGGAGGGTTGGAGACCGTAGCAAGTCTCCGT